TCAAGAATTATATTGCATAAGTTCTCTTTAGTCTATTAAACTTAGTATATCCTTGCAAAAGAGATTTTGTGTAAAAAGTGTATTAATGAACGATCTGCAAATATCTATAAATCGAGCTGTACACCTATGAATGTGTCAATCCTGCTTGGTTTTTAGTTATCAGAGAAACAACATTTTCTTTAAATTGAGGTCTGCCCACTTCTTGACTTTCTCATTTTGCTTGTAATTATAAAACAACAAATACAAAGAAGTATTGGGGTCCCTTGGCTCCCCGTGATAATAAAATCAAGCTTCCTTTATGGGGCTAATCATGTGTCCTTCAGGATACTTGCCTCCAAGCACTCAGCAGGGGTTACTGCACAGTATTTTGTGTGGTTTTCAAGAAGCAGTGTATTTTGCAAGAGGTGCTTCATAATTTTAATTATTTCACTGATTTTCTGACCTCATAGCAAGTCTGTGTCTGTTCAGGCATTAGATTTTGCAGATTTTTGTGATTTTTTTCTTTTTGTGATTTGTTGTTGTTGTTGTTGATTTTGACTTGAAGGAGAAATATCACCCTGGAGTGACACAGTAAATCCAGGGTACCTTTTCAGTAAGACAGCTCAAAGGAAAAGGAGTCTTTTAAAAGGTAACATAAAGCCACTGCCCTCTCGTAAGGTGCAAGGTATGGAAAGGGAGAATGACATACGGCCTTTTGGAAATGGTCTACAAAACTTTTCTTCTTCAAAGTAATGAAACACATAAGATGAAATACACACACACACACACACACACACACACACATACACACACACACACACACAAAGCCCTGGTGGCATAGTGGTTAAGAGCTAGGCTGCCAACCAAAAGTTCAGCAGTTCGAATCCAGCTGCTCCTTGGAAACCCTAGGGGGCAGTTCTACTCTGTCCTATAGGGTTGCTATGAATCAGAATCAATTCGAGTTTGGTTTGGGTTTATAAACACACACACACACACACACACACACACACACACACACACACATATCTTTCTCTCTACTAATTTCCAGAAGAATACTTCTAAAATTCATTTTTCTATTTTGGAATAAATTATCTTTATACAGCAATTCAAACATTGATATACATTAACCTTTGGCACTGAGTTTTCCTCTAATACAGAAGACTTCATCTTGAGAAGCGCTCAATAACAATTTTATCTATAGGACTTTGTACAAATGCCCTTTTTGAGGGCCAACAGTTTCAATACACTTTTTTTTTTTTTTTTACTCTGTGAAACAGGCCTGGAGCTGCACAGGGAAAGTAATGCAAAGCTGTACAAAAAGCCCTGCTCAGGTCTCCTAACCCTTCTCTGCCTTCCCCTAGTTTGCGTCTCCTCAGGTCTGACACTGAGGAATGCACAGTCTTCAACCAAAATGGCACTATAGTTAGTACTCATTGGAAACCAAACCAGTAGATTTCTGGAACCTGCTTTTCTGAAGTAGTCAATGCCTTTGTAAAGACTCAGCATATTCAATATCTATTGTATTGTATACATAGGCAGATGGACTACTTTTAGTCCTGGTTTATGTATCTTTGAGCTTTATCCATTGGTGGGATTAAACAATACTGTTTAATGGTTGTAAACTTTTATAAAACCTCTTTGGGTTTCTTGTTTGACCCAAACATAATGTAAGTCTCAATGACAAAAAACACAAAACCAACTAGAGGTGAGTGAAAATATGTCCCAGCCCCAGTTTTGTCTGCCCCTGTAGTGCATGTGCAATGCTTTTTTTTGTCTGATGTCAGCAACATGCTCTCATTAGCATGAATGTACTATGAATACTTCATGAGGTTTTAAATTGTCTCACCTAAAATTGTGATGGAAAATACTGTATCGTTGACAACAATGAACTGTAACCACACTTATTTATTGCATAAACTATTTGTATAATAACCATTAATGGCTCTGTTTCTTTAAGAACATCAACAACAAAAGCCATACCACATATACATATATACGTTCCAGTTTGCTTCTAAAAAATTCAATATTTCCCCTCGGAATCTGCAGCTTGAGATAATATATAAAGACAGGGATCTCCCCAAATGAGTTCATCTGAGTTTTATCACAGAAAACATATGCTCTCTAATTTTTGTATACTAACACAGCCCCAAGTGCTAGTCAAACAGGTGTTTCCCACTGAACTGAACTGGGCCTCCACTGGTGGGTCAGAACAAGGTGGAGGGCTCAGGGTCCGGGCTTATTTCTGTATACAACCTATATAGTTCCTCCCCCAAATAGCCTCCGAGTCACAGAGACATCATCTGCTGGGCCTTAGCCAGAATATCAGAACTAGAAGGGGCCTAGTACTGTATACTTTACAGAGAAGTCACTTGGGTGGTGCTCAGCTGCATAGGTGCAGGAATTGAGGCTCCAAGGGCTGAAGAGATCTGGCCAAGGCTGAACAGGGAGTTAGGGGCAAAGCCAGGACTGGAAACCCAGACCTCATGACTCCCAGGACAGTGATCCCTTTATCACAGTGGTGTCTGCTCTTCCCTCAGGCCTCTTCAGATCCTCCTACCCATCCAACTCCACTCCAGGTCAGTCTCATTTTAAAGGCAGAGATGGCCACAGTGGCTGCAGCAGAGCTTAGCCTAGAAGCCTTTGGAAATGTGCTATTAGTGAATCTGAGAACACCTTTTTCCTTTTTATCATCCTCCATGGGACTAAGAGTGTTCATCTCTCCCCTCCCCTTTCCTCTTCTGTTTCTTTTCTCTTGTTACTTCCTCTCACTTTCTTCAGATACGCATATATTAAGTTCTTATTGAGTACCAAATAGGGGCCTGGCCTATACTGAGCTAGGGAGCTAGAAGAGGAGGAAACAGTTCCTGTCTCGGGGAACTTGCACTCTAGTGGGGGAACGCAGTACACGCAGAGAATGAATTAAGACTTTCTTGGAGAGCAGTGGCAGTGTGAGGGTAGGGGAGTGGTAAGAACAGAATCCCAAGAAGGAACAATGCATTGTCCAATGCCATTCCCCAATCACAGGTGAAAAATCAACTGATCTTACCATATTACCCTCCAGCTTACCTCTCTGACCTCATGACCTACCAAGTCCTTCCTAACCCGTGTTCCAATTATCCTGGACCTTTCACTGGTACCCCAACATGCTAAGCTCTTTCTCAACCCCTCCAGACTTTTACCTTCCTTCTACTCCTTATTCTGACTAGTAAACTCTTGCCTTTGAAGACCCAGTGTCAATGTCACCTCCTCTACTAAGCTGTCAGACCTCCTTGTCCAGGCAATGTTAGTCCTTTCCCCCTAGTGGGCCCTGCAGGCATCTTGAATCTTTATCTTAGCACTTGTCACTTTGTGTTACGTTTGCATGCCATCTCCTCCACAAAACAGGGAGTTCCTTAAGGACAGGAACCATGTTCTTCATCACTGATGAATTATCTCCTGTCAGAGGGGTGCCTCTTAATTACTGTTGTTGAATAACATTATAATCTATGTTCCAGTCCCTCTTCTGTTCCAGTTAAATGTGTGGTTAAAAGACTTTCTCTATTCAGAAGATAAGGAAAACTGTAAGGTTTTTCCCATTAAGTGGTGGAACTTGCCTAAACCCCAGGTCTTTGGGCAGCTTTTTCCTCTATACCAGTGGATCTCAAACTTTAGTGTGCATCAGAATCACCTTGAAGGGTTTGTTAAAACATAGATTGCTGCCCACCAGTCTATGTTTTGTAGGGGGAGAGGGAAGAGTTGGAGGGAAACTGACTTTGTATTACCAATACACAAGTCTCTTTGCTTTGCCTATGCCTAATGCTTGGGTCCACAGAGGCCAGGAAATCTTAACTCTGTTGGGCTCGTGGACCCCTTTGATAATCTGATAAAATCTGTGGACCAGCTCCCTAGAAAAATGATGGTGTACAGGCGCAGTGGTTAAAGCAATCGACCGCTAACTGAAAGGTCAGTCGGCACTTCAAAACCACTAGCAGCTCTGCAGGAGAAAGATGTGGTAGTCTGCTTCCGTAGAGATTTACAGCCTTGGAAACCCTATGAGTTCGCTACGAGTCAGAATCGACTTGATGGCAGTGGGTTTTGGGGGGTACAAAGATATTTAGTATATACTTTCAGAGGTGCTGTGGACTCCTTATGGGTCCTAAGTTAAAATCCTTGACAGTGTTCTGGTATGACAGTTCTACTTGGCATTTTTATAGCATAAGCCCTCTTCTTCCTTTCATCATTTCTTGCTCAGCCACACTTCCTGGATGAGTTTCTTGACTGGAGTGCTGCCTGGTTCTGTCCCTTGCTTCCCCTTGCCTTGGCCCAAACATGGCCCTACGGAGATGCTCACTCTCTCATCCAGCTATCACTCTCCCCAGGGTGGGGATGGGGGATGTTGTAGCCACAAACTTGACCTGATTCCACAACCACCACCCTGAAAATATCACCCCAGCCAAACCCCACAAGGCACACCAGAACTCCCTTAAGGCACTTAAGGTTATCACAGTTGGTGACTGTCCATTCTCACTGGGTTGGGAGTTCTGATGGGTGAGAACATGGTTTATTCATCTGTTTCTTGGCAGCTCAGGGCTGACACAGGGTAGGCACTCTTGAGTTCCTGAAGGAATTGGGTTATCATAGAGAAGGGGCTCTGGGCCAGTACCTAAGACGTTTCTCTGGCTCCAATGCCCACCACAGGGAATCTTTTCTAAGCCAAAGGGGTAGAAAAAATGACAAAGACAGACTTCTCTCTGGCTTTCAACTTCTTTTTTGTTATTCATCAGAATACGATCTATCTTGGTAAATGTTTCATATACACTTGAAAAAAATGTATAACCTGGGTGGAGTCTTTACAAATGTCAATTACATCTGCTGCTGTTCAACCAGAGGATGAGCCCTTAGAGATGAGCAGGATGATGAGCCAGAACCTTGCTGGGCAGCAGTAGGAAGGCCTGGGTCTTCTCACTCACTGTGAGGCTCTAAGCAGATGCCCAGCAATTTCTCTCCTGTGGGGCCTGATGCTTCCAAGTGAGCCTGCCCCATGCTAGAGCTGAGGAGAGCAAAGATGGTCTGAGGAATCAAGCAGAAGGTACAGGTGGAGCCTGGCAGTGGGAGCAATCGGGCAGTAGGCCCAAAGGGCCTCAGGACCCACCTCCCGGTCGAAGCCCTGTTATGATTCCACCTTCTCTGGAGCCCCCAGAATAAAGAAGGGAAAATGACATTCATCTGACCCAGCATACACCCCCTCACCTCACAAACACTCAAACACCAAAACTACATTTGCCTGTTTATTGTTTTTCAAAACAAAACGAAAACCCCAAAACACATTAAAAATCCCACTGTAGTGGAAAGATGATTCGGGCTGTCTCCCAGGTTGTTTCATGGAGCATCAGGCACATTGGGGGATGGGCTGTTGCCCTGGCAGGGTTGGATGCATACTTGCACCAGGGCTTACATCAGAAGAGCTGCAGGCCAGTTTTGAGCCCATGCAGCTGCCCTTGGCTCCAGAGAAAGCCCTCAAAGTTGCTGCTGCTGTTGCTGTAGTTGGCACTGCCGATGCCACAGCTTAGGCCCAGGGTGCTGCAGAGAGAGTAGGGGGTCAGTCAGGGAACGAGGCAGCTTTAGGCTCTGCATGGGCCAAGGGTGCTTGATGTGTGTATGTCTATGGGAAAGGCCCCCACCTTCCTGCCTGGTTTTACTGAGACAGATGGGTGCAAATCTGAGAAACCACTTCAGGTGGGCTTTAGGGATGGCTCTGCCCTCCCTTCAGCTGAGGGAGAGAGGGAAGGAGGAGTGGAACTTATCAAATGAAACTTTATTCAGAGCCCCAATACATAAATCGGATTAAAGCAGAGCTGTTCAGGCTGAGGTACAGGAGGGAACCGACCCTGTACCATCCAACTCCCAGGAAGATATTCAAAGTAACTGCCTTAACATGGCCTTCTTCCAACGCCCTAGAGCTTGGTGGCCAAGAGGACCCTGGGCTGGACATCGCCCCCCACAACAGCTGGTTAAAGGGATCCAGACTTGGTACTGCAGGGCTAGGCCCAGCTCCCACTCCAGGAATGCAGATTGCTCTAGGGAGACGACTGTTTCCCCCACCCCCCCACCCCGACCCAGCCCTGCCTACTCAGAACACTCTTGCTTCCCCTCCTTCCCACAGGCCCTTCCAGCTGGATAAGGGTGACAGCTAAGAGCAAAGCCATCATTCTTCCCCTCAGGCAGATCCATGGTTACATGACTGCAGCCGAAAAAACCCTTAGAGATGATCTAGTCCCATCCACTCCCATCACCCACAATCTTACAGAGAAGGAAACTGAGGCCCAGAGATGGGAAGGGCCACATAGCCAAGTCAGGGGTGGAGCTGGGACAAGAAGCAGGGTGGGCATGCCTTGCCCTAGGAGAGGAAGCCTCCCTACTACAGGAGTGTGGGAGCTGGGCCAAATCTACTTCTTTCTAGATTTAACAGCTCCACCTGCCCACACTTCATCCTTGATACCCTGGTGCTCACTCAGTCAGCCTTACCCAAGGTCAGGCTAGTTGGGGCTAAGAGGAGAAGAGGCCTCTCTCTCAGATATGTGGGCCCTGCTCCCAACTACAGACTACCTGGATTCCCCAGCTGCCACCTCTCCTCGCCTCTCCGGGAGGCCTGCTGCCCCCTGGCCAGGCCCCACTGACTTGGGCCTGGCCTGCTGATAGAGCCCCTGGGCTCAATTGCCCTCTCCCAGGATGCCCAGATGAAGAGGGAGTCATCTCCCAGGGAGTGGGTAAGCCAGGACAGGCAGCACAGGGATAGATTCTCAATTTCAGGGGCCCAAAGGGGTCTCTCTCTGGTACTCACAGGATTCTCCTGGTCACATTGGCCCAGCATTCCGGAATGTACAGGCCCTCTGGATGGGCTTCTTTGTGCTACCAGCACAGCCCCTCAGCAAGGGCTGCTTGGTTCCTGGCTCCCTGATGACCCAAGGGCTCCCATGCCTGTGATCCAGAGGTGAGTTTCGAGGCAGAGCATGGAGCCCTGCGCAGGCCTTGCTATCAAGATGCCTGGACAATGCGGGGAGGCCTAATGATTACTCTCTGTGCACCTTTGGACAAATCCCTTCCCCTTTCTAGGCCTCAGTTTTCTCCTCAGGAACATGAGGAAGCTGGATTAGAGCAACCGTTCTTGACCTTTTGGGGCTGGTAGATGATTCTGAGGATCTGTTGAAAGCTATGGACCCCTCCCCCCCTCAAAATGCACACAAACACATACATAAGCACACACACGTTAGATGTAATTTGAGGGATGCCAAGCCAGTTCTGCACGGCTGCCTCACTGGCTCCCTCAACTTGGGGCTGGGAGTCATGGCAAGGACCCAACTTCACTCATTTAGGCCCTCACTAGGGATGGCTAATTCCCTCACTCAGCCCACTTTTCTTACTCCCTCCTACGTACAGTAAAACAGGGGTGAGAAATCCTGCTGCCATGGGCACTCACCCAGTCTTGCACATCGGAGGTTCCAGCCGCTGGTCTAGCACAGGCTGATCCAAAAGATACATGGTGTCGTAATTTTCCAGCATAAGCTCCGCTGGGTCCTCAGTCTGACTCGGCATCCGGCCTAAGGGGAATGTGCCCCATCGCACATCTTCTGCGAAGCAAAAGGAAGTGATCAGAGCAGGCTGATTAGCTGGTTCTTAGGTTTGCATAGAGGCCTACCTACCTGCCTATCCACCCACTCACCCCAACTAGCCCCCTCTCTGGGTGTCTCTAGCCTCACTCCTCTCTGCATCACTTTTTCATGAGCTCCTCTCTATGTCAACGCTCCCAGTTCTTCCCATACTCCATCACACACTCTATAGTCCTTCTTCCCTTGTATGTGTACATACAACACTCCATACACCATTACAGACAGATATTTTTCTCTCTCTGCTCTTCTCTTCCCACTTCCCCAGACATGTCCCCACACAGACAACAATATCCTCTTTAGACTTGGCTGTTTACTGACCCAACCTCTCATCCACACCGCTATTTCCACATTTGTATGGAGACATATACTCACACATACATCCTGGAGGGTCTTAATGCCTCAGAATTCCCACAGCAACCCTTCCAAACCCACAGAAACCTCAGAGTACCTGAATGACCTAGATTTCCTACACATCTACACGTTTGAATGCCATGTCATTTCATACTGGCCTTGCCTGGAGAGATATACACACACACTCTCCACAATGTCATATCGCCCCCGGACACACACACACAAAGGGGGAAGGGCTATGTCTCACTGCATACCCCTGCCCCACCCCATCACCTGAGTATATACACATAAGCACATGTAAGCCCTCCATTCAATGAATGTTCCCTCCCTCTTATACCTCACAGGCAGATAAACCAGAAATCTTAATGTCCCTGCCTCCCTACATATGTGTTTTCATACAAGGCGGGGGAGGCAATGGCAAGAGGGAGAGGGAAATATTTTAATACCCTAGCTTTTCCACATTCACAAGCCATCTCACCCAAGCCCCAACACAGATATTCCACTTTAGGATGGACTGTGTCAGGCATTCACCACCCCGCTCCACTCCATCCTATCACATAAACACCCTCCCTATCCTCCCCATGTTTTCAAGTTAAGGCCTCACTGGTGAGCTCCTCCGAGTAGATTCCGTTTCTGGCCTCCTGCATTTCCCTGATACCCACCGAATTCTGTCATAATATCCCCGGCATTCTGGAAAGTTATCAACCCTGGACCAGCTTTTTTTTTTTGGTGTTGTACTTTAGATGAAGATTTATAGAACAAATAGTTTCTCATTAAACAGTGAGTACACATATTGTTTTATGACATTGGTTAACAACCCCACGACATGTCAATACTCTTCCTTCTCGACCTTGGAGGACCTTTTTTTTTTGGTGAAAATATACATAGCCAAAGATACACCATTTCAAAAATTTCTACACGTACAATTCAGTGACATCAATTACATTCTTCCAGTTGTGCCGATATTCTCACTATCCTTTCCCAAATTATTCCATCACCATTATCTTCAACTCACTGTCCCCTAGGCTTCCCATCAAACCTTTTGACTTGCTGTTGACAATCTGATCTCACATAATTTTGTTTTGTACCTTAGATGAAGGTTTACAGAAGTTTCTCATTAAACAATACACATATTGCCCTATGACAATGGTTAACAACCCACGACATGTCAACACTGTCCCTTCTCAACCTTGGATTCCCTATCACCAGCTTTCCTGTCCCCTCCTGCCTTCTAGTCCTTGTCCCTGGACTGCAGTGCCTCATTAGTCCAGTTTTGTTTTATGCGGCTGTCCAATCCCCAGCTGAATGGTGAACCTTGGGAGTGACTTCACCACTGAGCTAAAAGGGTGCCTGGGGGCCATACTCTTGGGGTTTCTCCAGTCTATCAAGCCAGTAAATCTGGTCTTTTTTGTGAGTTAGAATTTTGTTCTACATCCTTCTCCAGCTCTGTCCAGGACCCTCTGTTGTGATCCTGCCTGGACTAGCTTTTTATGTTACCTATAGAACCCAGCAAGGGCTGTTCCTCTGCCTGTACACCCCCAACCTCTTGCTCTTTTATAGGAATTTGCACCTGTCTTCATGCCCTAAATCTCCCTACACATACAAAGATACCATGATACACAGGGGCCACTTGCCCCATGGGTTCTGTCACTGACCCCCTCCTCATCACTAACATCCTCAGCCCTGTCTACATCACTGCCCTTGCCTCTCTAGTCTAATACCCTTATACATGTTCCCTCATTGACAGCATGGACACACCACACAGGCTACCTCTGCATGACTGTCTCTCTGCCTGTTTTCATACCCCTCCATATACCCACACCTCTCACTTTTGCCATTTCTCTTCTTCATAACCACCCCCATACACTCACACACTTCCTGATCCTCATGAGTCAGGGTGACTCTGTCGCTTCTTCCAAAAACATACATGACCATGAATGTATGTAGGTACACCTTAACACACGGCCCACTTTACAAGGACCTATTTCACTGCCTTTACTTCTCTCTCTCACGCGCATGCAAACAGACACACACACACACACACACACACACACACACACACAGTCTGTCTCAATGCTCCTCCATTTCCATGTACACAAAGACTCCCAAACACAGCCCTCTTTGACCTAAGAGGTGATTTCTCTGTTGTTGTGCCATGGTTTGTCCAGTATACAGAGGCACACAGCCATACACACACCCAAAGACATGCACACATTCCACCACCCCTTCCAGTCAAGGCATTTATGCACCAGCCCTTCCACATACATGTTCACATAAATGCAAAGGCTACACCTTTCCTCACGAGCTCAATCACTGCCTCCTCTCTCTCTCTCCTTCTTGCTCCCCCAATCATGCCCGACACTACACCACACCTAGACCTAGCTCTGTTCTGGGCTGCTCTTCTGCCCCCTCCCTCAGGACAGACTGTCATATAGGCTGTGCCTGACATCTACCCCTGCCTCCAATGTATACATACACACATGCTCATGCACACACACTAGACTGTTTTGTCATTTCTTCTGTATCACTCCACCTTGAGGTTCCTGCTCCCTAACCTAAATAAGGGCACTCAAAAGACCATCTGACCATCCTCAGGAGGAGCAGATTCACAATGTTCCCCTACCTTCCTATCACGAACCACCACCTCCACCCCCCAGCTTTGGTCTAACTTGCCTCCTCACCTAAAAGCTGTATCACTCCTTATTCTCACTCTTCTTAGATCACTTCTAGTTTCTCTGACTTAATGCCCCCTGGGTTCTAGCTTTCTAATACACACAGCAAATCCTTTCACCACCTAGCCTCCACATGTACATGCACATTCACACATACATAGGAAGTACTTCCCTTGTCTCACTACCCCTGGGACTCTGCACCCAAAAGACACGTGCAGAATCATATACATACACACCTCCTCAGCCCCCAACTCTCACTTTCTCTTGCCTGTGTTTTACTGCCCAGTACCCACACCCACACCATCCTCTTTAAATGTGTTCACTGTCTGTCTCCAGCCCTCACCTTCCCCCTAACACACATACCCAGGCCAACTCTCATCTCCCAGTTCCTAGGCCTCCCTAGCTTCTCTCCCATTCATATCCAGCACGCTGCAACTCACTTCGCTTGGGTCCAGCCCTCTCAGTTTCACCACCTCCTACAAACTGTCTTATCCTCCAGCACTCTAACAACTACTGCACCCACTCCCCTGCCACCACATTCCACATCTGCACTGGCTGGTGCATCCTGTGCTTCCTCTTATACTGCAGGCCCCCTCCACTGCAGCCCCTCTCAACACCCACACCCTTGCCTGTCTGGCCCTGTGCCCCTGTCCATGCCAGCCTGCATGCTCCACCAGACAGACACTCTCAGGGTGCTCTCAGTATCTCACTGCCTCTGTCACCCTGTGGCTCTTACTTCTCAATGCTCTTGGGTTCTCCATGCTCAAAAACATGTTTAGAACACAATCCCATACCCAATGCATCTCTTGAGGGATGAGCTCCCTCTTGATGACTCACTTTCCCCTCTTACAAACCTGCTGTCTCCCTTAGGTTCCAACACTCCTGCACACCATCTGTATGTATACATGTACACCTGCATACATCCCCACCCTCTAAGCATACAGAGCACTCTCTGCCCTCCCATGTATGTAAAGGACATGCAGAAACACAAGCCCAGGACCCCACTAAAAGGGCTGCTGCTGGTTCCCTGCTCCCCAACTCTCACACAACTACACTCAACTCTGCACCTCAATGCTCACCTGTACATACCTCCCAGCCATGTCTTACCACCTCTGCCTGCCCTACCTTTTCACACACATTTGCCTCACCAGTAGGGCCATGTGGCTTTCTGAGTCTCATTACCCTGGGGCTCCAGGTCTTTAACACACGTGCACACACCCCACACACCACAGTCCTCTTGCAACAAGGGCTCTACTATCTTATTCAAGTCCTCTGTTGGGCCCTTGCTCATCTCATGGGAATGTTTACACACACACACACACAAAATAAGAGCCCCATTTCCCATGTGGGCACACAAAGCTCTGTAGCTCACCATTCCCAACCTCTCCTGTTTATACACAATTATCCAACTGCCTTTTCCTACTCCTACCACCAGTCTCAGAATGACAGTAACATAGCCCCCACACTCCACCCTCAGTGTTTCCCGGCCCTCCCTCCACAGACGTAACTCCTCTTAAGATGGGTTTGATTGCAGGCTCCTCCCACTCTCTTTGCCTCCCTTCTCTCCCATCCCCTATCCCCCCCCAACACACACGTACATAGGGAGCTGCATCCCGCTGTCTAAAGGCACACCACACCACTTGTCCCTTTCTCACACACATATTCAAACATATACACACACCCCTCTGTCATTTGGTGCTAAGTATCCTGGCAGACGTAAGTGCCTGTATCTTCCTGGCTGCTCACTGCCCCATGTACATAGAACCTACCCTACTCAACATCCTGCACTAACTCTGTCCAACATAGAATCTTGTCTCTGAAGTCCCTGACCCCCACACTCCTTACTGTCAAGCCCTGCCTCCAGAATATCTAGGGTGCTCTCTGAGTACCCTAGGTACACTCTCATTCAAGCTAGGGCTTCTGGGAATAAGACAGCACGGAGGCCAGGGCTTCCTTTAAACCCCAGAACATGCCTGGGATTTGGTAGGCCTGGAGGCCAGCAGACAAGACCTTGGTGCCCCTGGCAGCTGATGTGGCACACACTAGCCACATGGGCATGAGTCAGAGAGAGAAGACAGCAAAGGCCTGAAGCAGCTGGCAGCACAATAGTGCTTAGGTCCCCAGCTCTTACACACTTCACTGCAGCTATCAGGGTGCCTAAGTCTTAGTGGGAAGGGAAACCAGCTGTCATCCATACATCAGGTTGTCTCCTAGGCTTGTCTCAGGCTGGCTACCTCCTGCTAATTTCCACCCCTTCCCTAGGATGGAGTAAAGACTCACAGCCAGCCAGAGAGGGAAGAAACTGGTGTGGGGAGGAAAGTGGATATAGGCTTCTTACCTGAGCTAACTTGCCACACAGAGCCCTGCAAAGCTCCTCTTTTCTGCGCCAGGAGCCTGGCATTCTCAGCGGTGGGGGACTCTTCCCTTGGAGAGAAAGCCTCCACTTCCATTCTGTCTTCCTCATCATCATCTTCATCATCATCTTCTTCATCCTCCTCCTGGTCATCATCTTCCTCTTCCTCCACCTGTTCTTCCAAGACCTCTTTCTCATTTTTCTCATCTTCCTTGTCATGATTAAGGCTACCCTGCTCCTGGGCCTTTCCTTCAGACTCAAAGCTGGAGCTAGCTGGTTTTAGGCTCCAATACAGGCTGTCCAGTGTATATGGAGAATTCCCGATGGTGGAGGCCTCTGAGCCCTCCTGCACCAGGCTATTTTCTCCACTCTGGGTATAAATGGAGCAGATGCGCAGCAGCTTCTCCTGGTCCTCATCTGGCAGGACCGACCCCATGGCTATGAAGATGCTGAGCAAAGGGAGGGATGGGGTAGGAAAGATTCAACATCTAAAGTCACTTCACATCCCAATACTCCAGAGTTTGAACTTGGTCTTTGAGCTTCCAGACTTGCCTCTGAAAGGCAGTGTGGTAGAGCAGATAGCACAGAAACAATAGGACCATGGACCCTGAACAAGCTCTGTACCTCAGTTCCATTCTCAGTAAAATGAGGACAATAATGGTGTCTAACTTAATAGGGTTGATGAGAGGAGCAAATAAGATAGCTCATATAGAATGCCTGGCACAGTGCCTGGCACATAGCGGGCATACAATAAATGATAGCAATTGTAGTCTGCACTGAAATGCTATGTAAATAAGCAAACTAGCCAACAGACCTACAGGTTGGAAATGAGAATGGCAGAACCTTTTTTTCCTGTAGCCTAGCTGAGCAATCTGTCCTGAGCACCAAGGATATGCCTGGAAGTGTGCTGGGCTCCTTCGGGATGGAACACAAAGTGTGATCCCTTTCTGGGAGCAGCCACAGCCCAGCCTGGAATGGAGGAAAAGAAAAAAAAAAAGCAGCAGTTGACAAGACAGGATGTGGGAGGGAGGCCAGATGAGCACTGCAGACCGCGGGCACCACAGGAGCTGGGGGGAGGCAGAGAGCACAAGGAGAGCAGGAGAAATCAAGGGAGGACTTCGTGCAGGAAGGAGGGCCCAAGAGGACAAGAGCGAGCACACAGTGCTGGGTGAGGTGACAGTAACCTGGATAGAAGGTAAGGTCTGTGCTGAGGAGCTGTGGGACGAAGAGAAGGCTGGAAAGGTTGTGTGTGTGTGTGTGTGTGTGTGTGTGTGTGTGTCTGTGTGTCTGTGTGTCTATGTGTGTGTCTGTGTCTGTGTGTGTGTGTGCGCGCGCACACGCGCGCACGTGTTGGGGAGAGGTCACCTGATAATGCTGAGAACAGGTGAAAGCTGTGATTCTGAAGATCACTGGTGACCATGTGGAGGGCGCCCTGGAGGCAGGGAGACCAGGGAGGAGCCTGTTACAACAGTCCAGGCCAAGAGACGGAGAGGGCTGACCTAGGGCATTGACAGTGGAGATGGGAGGGAGAGAAACCGTGAAGGACAGATACAGAGCAGAGACTGGTGATCGAATGACAGGCATCAGGCAGAGGAGAGTTAACAATGATGGCAATGGGCACACAAAGGACCACACTAACAGCAAAACCACCAACAGATACATAGCCACTGAAAGGGAAAGCTCATGGGGAGGAAGAGGTGCGCATGCACCCCTTGCAGAGACTCACATACAACCTGGCACCTAACAGGCACTTGGTCACTGCTGGATGCATGGGTTGGATGGACAGATGGATAGGTTTCCTTCTAGGTGTATTGAGTTTGAACTATGGGCAGTTCATGGAGAGACCCTATGCTCAAGGGGGCTGTTTTCTCTCTGGGCCTTGCATGCAGACATATGTGCGTAGTCACTGATAGGAGGGGGCAGGGCTGGGGACTAGTGACTTGATTGGGAAACTGGGAGACACTCTGTGGTGGGACCAATTTCACATTCCACGAGGACACTGACTCAAACAGAATTGATATTGGCTGGCTAGAGGAAGCTCTTAAAAAGCCTCCAACTTTATTAGAGGAAAAGCCAGAGAGAAATACTCTTCCCTCTCACTGTGGTCCATCAGTATAATACTAAATAGTCTAGGCACTTAATGTCGTCAAGACGGCTTATCCCTGCTATATATCATTACCCACCCATTATCTCAAAAGCTGTCTAGTCTGACCATTACAGTGCAGGAGTGATACGAATCTTAAAATACATTTCCTTCCTCAGATTTGCCTGGTTACAACTCAGAGCTAAGAAGGTTACAGGTTCAGGTTGATGGAAAGAAGGTGGACTTTGGACTCACAAGACCTGGGCCCAAATCCCTGTCCCACCATCAGTGAACCATGGGACTCTTGGATAAATCACTTCACTCCTCAGCACCTCCGCGTCCTGTCAAATAAGAGTATAATACTCCACTTTCAAAGACTGCTGTTGTCAATTAAATGAAATGACTTCTACCAGAAATATACAGTACCATGCCTGGCATTTAACTGCAGTGATATCTTTTTATTTTGATGTCCCATTATTCACTGGGTAACCCTGGCAAAGTCCCTTCCCCTCTTTCTCAATTTCTCTTGTTAACTGACAGCACAGGGCCTGGATGGCCCCAAGGACTCTTCTGTCCCAATACTCTGTACTTTTTTTCTGACAGACCCGTTTGCTTCCCTTTTGTCTTTCCTGGTTTAAAAACTTGTAACAGCTGTTCAGGTCCAGGTTCCCAAGGCCTAAACATTTTTTCTCTGGGTGGGGGGGAAGCCAAGTTCTGTCTGAGTCTAGTAATGGATGCTTTTTGCAATAGTACAATACAATGAAGCACTGTAGAAAAAGCACAGGACTAAGGACAAGATATCAGGATTCTGGCCCCAGCTCTGCTACTGACTTGCAGCACAGTACCTGGAAAAATCCCATCTGTTTCCCAATCTGTGTAATGGGGTGATTAGGACTAGATTAACTGATTATCTGGGGAAGGCAGGATCTGTGCACAAGGAATCGTACCCAAGTGAGGCGCTGTTACTGCTGGCATGTGTCGCATCCTTCTGGTATGCTTGGGTTGGGAGAAGATCTCTGTGGTCCAAACTTCTCCAATACCAGCAGCTTCCACTCTGTAGACACTTAGGATTGGAAAGTACCTTGAAGGCCACCTATCCAAACCTTTCCATGCTGCTCTTTTCACTCCCTCCCCCCATTACATATCATGTTCCTTCTGACTTTGAAACTTCCTTTCTTCTTGCTTGAATTGCTCAAATGCCTTCTCTGTAATGCTTTTCCTGACTACTCCAGGCCCTTTTGGTTCTCCCAGTTTCCCACCCATCCATATCACTTCTAGTCTAGGGCACATATATCTGAAGATATGGCTATTTGGTTCAGTACTATCTCCTGAAGGCCTTGCCCTGGTTGGCTGTCTACGAGGCCACCTTTTTTCTCTTATATAAACACTACTGTACCCCAAATGTCATCAGATTTCAGATTCCATAGGGTAATCAGGGTGCTAAGAGGGTCTTGGCACCCAGACTCCCACTTCATTCATTCACCACACATTGAGTCAGCTCTCATCAAGTGAAGCACCGCTGGCAATGAGACAGCAGAATACAGTCCAGTTCAACAACATTTACTGAGGCCCGTTTGATGCTTCTACCTGTGCGGTGTGCTGGGACAGATGGTTAATGGAGAGCCCTTGCCCTGAAAATCTTATAGTTTGATAAAGGGAAGGTGACACTAGGGGAAGTAGACACAGTAACACAAAATATCTGATTTGGGAAGTATTTGAGAGAGTCAACATGACAGGGTAGATGGTGTTACCACCAAGTGAGGCAGAGATCAGAGGAGGAAGATCACTTTGGGGGCTGGGGTAGGGAATAAGATGACCAATTCTGTTTTGGTCTCTCCAGGTGGAGTTGTCTAACATGCAGGTGATTATAGGAAGCTGAAGCTTGGGGGAAAGGCCTGAGCTAGATAAAGAGATTTGGGCCTCGGCACTTTATAGGAACCAGTAAAAAGCACAGGCCTTTCCTGGAGGGAGAGGTAAACAGCATCAATGCAGCGGACAGTGAGGCTGACAAGGGCCCATTGGATTCACTAATTAGGCGGTCAAAGCAGCACTGGGGGTGAATGCCAAATTGCAGCAGGTTGAAGAGTAAGAGGGTAGTGAGGAAATCGAGATTGTTGAGTGCAGACTACACTTCTGAGATGCCTGAGCGGGAAGGGAAGGATGACAAGCTGGTAGCTACAGAGGAATGCAGGGTCAAAGGAGATTGTGCTTTTGTTGTTGTTATCGTTGTTTTGTTTTGTTTTAAGACGAGAAAAATTCAGGAACATTCATAGATTGAAGAGCAAGAGTCAGTAGAGCAAGGGAGAGGCTGGGGTGAGGCCCCAGCACTGCTGGCAGAGGTGGCTCCAGAGCACAGGTGGAGGAGCAGGCTTTGAGGCAGGGCAAGGCCACCTCATCCTGAGACTGGTGAGAAGGTTGAGCGTAGCCGCAGATCAGTTCACGAGGGCTGGACCTCAAGTTGAGGGGGCCCTGCTGGATGCCTCCATGTGCTCGAGGAAGCTAGGGTGAAATGGAAAAGGGGAAAGGGCTTGAGGTGAGTGATAAGGGTTTAGAATAGTCAGGAAATGGTAGAGAGAGTGGTCAGAAAAAAAGTAAAAGTTCAGACAAGCAGAACTGAGGCCTAGCCCCAGATTAAAAAGCATACCTCTGCAGTGGCAGCAATCCCCAGGGTTATGTGGTTTTCTCGAGCGGAGCTCAGCCATCCAGGCTGAGGACCAGGGGAAGCAGAGTGGGGAAAGTCAATCCCAACTTGGGGTTTGCAAGTCAGATATGGCCAAAGGATGGGCAGAGTTGAGGGTGGGTGATGACGTGAGGTTGAAGTGATCAACCACACAGGATCAAAGGGAAGCAAGGTTGAGGAAGGTAGTAAATGGAGGGAGATAAAGGTCTAGACGGAGGCAACAAACAGATGTCAGGGAATGTGAGGCAAGAACTGGAAGGACAAGAGGTAGCAGGCACCAAGTGGGATGTTGAGGCATCAGCTTTCAGAAGTGAAACAGCTCTGGGTAATGGAAATGGGTTGCTGAGTACAGTGGCAAATGAAGGTCACTGGGGTTGAGGAGCTGTAAAGTGTTAGATGGATCATCCAAATGAAAGAGATATTGCTTCAGAAAGCAGAAGAGAACCAGATGCTAAAGGCTTCCATGAGTATAAGGGAAATGGCTCAGGGTCAGAAAATGACAGAGAAAAGGAAAGGGAGACAACCACAGGTATTTACAGGAACCAGCACAATACTCAGTTTGACTATAAACCCAGGGTGGAGCGGGTAAAGGGGAATCACAGAGGTATGGCTAATCCTAAGTTGGGGCAAAATCAGAAAGATCTTAGAATGCCAGGCCAAGAAGCCCAGACTTCATCAGGAAGGCAATAGGGAGCCACTGAAGACTGTTGAACAACTATCAGAGGTATACTTTGGGAAGATAATGGAGAAGACAACACTGGGCTTAGAATCAGAAGACCTGGGTTCAATAATGAGCAGCAGCTACCATTTATTGAGCACTTACTCTGTGCAGGCCACTGTGCTAAGCACTCTAGGGGGATTGCCTCATCATTCTCATGCCAAACTCAGATCAGCCAGGTCTTAGCTGTGTGATCTTAGGCAGAATGCCCTGCCCCTCACCTCTCTGGGTCCAAGCTTTCCCATCTGTCAGTGGGAGGGGGATTGGGTCAGATGTTCTTGTAAGGGTCTTTCCAGCTCTAGTATTCTAGGGCTCTGTGGCCCTGAAGCTTGCTGGTGACCTCTCACCCTCTTACCAGATGGAATTCATGAGACTTACAGCTGAAGGAGTTGGGGGCTGGCCCAGCAAGGTGAGCCCAAGCAGGACTCAACCACCCGGGGCCAGTCAAGGGAGGCAGGGCAGCTGAACAGTCTCCAGCTCTTTCTCACTTCCCAATGGCTTGCAGAAAAGCGGCGGGCATTTCTTCCTGAAAGAGAAGCGACGGCCTGAGGAGAAGGAACCAGTGAAGCCCCCACCCAACCTTTTACCTCAAAAATCTTGGCTCTGTCCCTCCCCATCCCCCAGACTCCCAACTCTATACCTCCCATCCGCTCAAAGTATTCAGGGCCCTCTGTCCCAGCCCAGTTTAGTTGGCTCTGAGAAGAAAAAGGTAGACAGAGATTTGTCCATTGCTGCCACGGGACCTCTTGGGCAAACGTAAACCTTTAATAAAGGAGGTGTTTGCCTGGTGCTTCTCTGGGGCCGAAGCTGAGGACAATGGCAGATGCACTTGCCTCAGCTGCCCTAGGCCTTGGGCTAGGGCTAGCCTCCCTCACCAGTCTTGGTGTTGGCCACGATCAGTTCAATGATCCAGTTGAGGATGTAGGTAGGCCGGATCCCGCTGTCCCCCAAGGCTGGCAGCTCAGACAGCATCCTCTCCAACAAGGCCTGCGTGAAGGTCTGGGAGTGCAAGCCCCTAAGCAGAGGCTGCCAGAATTGAGAGAACGGCTTTGGCACCAGGATGTCATTCAAGTCCACGTTTTCTGGTTTGTGAGGGGCGCCATTGACAGGGGAAGGGGAGGTGGGGACCAATGGGAGGGAGAGCAAGAGAGAGAGCAAGCCCCACCACCAACAACAACAGAGTTGCCACCGCAGAACAGGAGGGAAGAGGAGAGCAGAACAGCAGGGGAGAGAGAAACCGGTTAGTAACTGGCACCCAACAACTGACCTAAAACGAAGTACAGAAGAAAAGGAGCTCTGGTTCTAGCTTCAGCTTTGTCAATAACTCACTGTGTGACTTTGGGTCAGTACCTTCCCCTCTCTGGACCTCAGTCTGCCCATCTGTAACATGAGGATGTTGGACTAGATGACCTCACAAGGCCCTTCTCGTTCTGCTGTTCTAGCTCTCTAGCTAGTGGCTAAATCACAATTAACACAGCACAATAACGGCATTAAGACTCCCCCCACCCCACGCCACCCCACCCTGCCCTACCCCATTCCAGGCCACCTAAGGATAACCCCACAACCACAACTACATATCAGTGGGGCTATCTGTTTTGTTCAGCCAGGGGGGCTGAAGAGCTTCCTGAGGCCATAGAGTGGCAGGAAACAGCCCTCACCCCCCATTCCAGGTCTCCCAGCCCATCCCTGGTGTTCCCACCCAGGAAACACAGTATTCTAAGGCTGCAGTGAGTCCCCAGGGACCTTACCTTCATAGTCTATCTGCAAGGCTGCCAACTGCTCAAATGTGGGGATGAGGAAGCCATCATCCAGAAAAGCATCCAGCACAGCATCACTGGAGCAAGAGGACAGCAGTTTAGTAAGCTGAAGTGGGCAGAAGACACTCTCCTACTCCCTCACCCACCCACAAGGAAGCCAATGCCTCTGGCAGAAGTGACCAAAACAGCTTGGGTGGGGGGGTGGGGGAAGGCAGATGTTAGATCTCAGACCTCAGCCTCCTGGGGCAAGGGCTGGGCTGGAGGCTGGAATCAGTGGGTTTTGAATGAATGTTTACCAAGCACATCCTGATCCAATGCCCATAATGAGGGCAGTAGTGGCTGAACAAGCCACAAAACACAGATGGACAAAGTCCCAGGCCCATTGATAAAAAGTGAAATGCCTGGGGTAAGAAGGTCAAGGGCTTCTGGATTCAGTTTCTGTTCGGTCTTTTTGTTTCTCTTGACAATTCTCAAGTCCCCTATCCCTCCTCTTTTCCCTGGTTGCCTTCTTTCAGATCCTAGAAGTAGAAACTTTGGGGACTCAACTGCTGAACCAAATACGAGAGCTCTATAGGCCTTACTACTGGTGACCCCCAAGAACCCAGAACAAGGGTAGAGGGTTTAAAAGAGTAGGCTATAGGGGTGTCTCTCATCCCCATTTAGCTCAAGCCTAAACAAGTAATAGCAAGCTGTCTCCTCAACAGCCAGCGGTTCCCCAACAGAGGCTCTCCTAGCCAACCAGACCCAAGAGCTCCCAAAGTGTCCTAATCCCTGGAGGGTTGGTATGCTCAGATTCCTCTCTCTAGCCCAGACCAGACTTGAAGGGGAATAGCTGTCCTTCTATCCTCATCCTATGGCCTCAGGTCAGTATCCAGAAAGAGTATTTAAACCAGCCAGCCAGCTTCCTACTCAGTACTACCAGGCAGACACTACTGTATAAGAGCACAACAACAGTTTTTCCAGCTGCTAAGGGGGCTACCACCCACCCCCTTGCTCAAGGGTGGAGCCAAGAAGCTTAGGCTGGGAAGACACTGATAAAACACCTTTGAAACTAGTAGCATCCTAGGAATGAAGATAAGACTCCAGGGGGCAATCCCAGCCTACACTACAGGCTCCCACCCAGGCCTGCTCCACCAACCTACCCCACTACCTACGCTCTGCTCCATCCCAGATTCCTTCCAACCTCTCCCAAGCTGGGAAGGTCTGGAACCTCCACAGGTTCTGAGTAGGAGATTCCCCAAAGCTCCTTCCAGCTGAATTTAGATGGAAAGCCTCGAAGAACTAGGGAGGAGAGTGGAATGGACGGGGGTACTACTGTTCTAGATTTAACTGGGCACTATTTTTTTGGAAAGTATAAGGCTCATGGCCATACTGAGGGAGAAGGAGGAACTCAATCTTTTGAGGAGCCAGGCTAGGGGATGGTCCCTGCTCTGTACCCCCAATACCAATGATCCAGAGGAGGCTGACACCCTCCAATAACAGTTCAAAAGAAAAGGCTAGCAGTGCCCACCATTTATCATTTCCCCCAAACGTGGACAAGGGCTAGGCAGAGAGGTAATAAGGATTAAGGGCTTTTCCTAGTTGCCAAGAGCTCCACGTACCACCTGACACAGAGAAACGAGGCTGGCCAGGAGATGGACGAATAGTGGACATTTCTTCCTCTGGCCAGTCCAGTGACTCAAAGTAGACAACCCCTATCTGGTAGCTGGCAGGGCCAGGGGTAGGGGGTCATACGGAACACAGGGTTACCCTGTCGGAAATCAGGACTACCCCTGGGATTTCCTATAGCAGAGATTGGTTGGCAAGCTGTGACATGGAAACCGATTTCAATGAGGCTGCCACCCTCTAGCCTAGAGTAGGCAGCCTAATTACTTAGTTACATACCTGTTCTCCCGTGTAATGCTCTTGAGCTCTGCCAGGATACATTCTACACGTGGGGACAAGTTATTCCACACCTTAATGGCCTGAGGTAAATGCCTAAATTCCTCCAGCACCTACCAGCCAAGAGGATTCCATCAGAAAGCTGGTTCAGCCAGGGAGCCCACCCCCACCCCTCCAGGATCCTTTCCCATAGGACCTCCTGGCTTGGCACTTCTCTTCAAGGGACAGGGCAGGGCATGCAGGGGTTACCCCAGAACTGCCTATTAAAAATAACCTGTCCTTCAAATGCCAGGCTTTCCACTACTCCCAAATCCCCTGTGGCTCCCAATCACAAGATACCCCAATACTGAGAGATCCACTGGGGACATTTGGTTGGAGATGGGCAGACACCCTTAGGCCAGAGGGTAAGGGGAGGCAGTGGGGTAGGGAAGAAAGGGAATAAAAAGACTAATCCTGGTTCTATCACTAGCTGCATATGTGGCCTTTGGCCAACCCCTTCACTTACCTATCTGTGAAAAGAAAGGGTTGAACTGGATGGTTTCTAAGCTATCTCCCTTCCTACTAAAATAGCACCCTTCAACCTCACCTGATCTAGGAAAGCTCTTGGGCCCCATCTGCTGTTCATCTATGCCCAGTTGTTCCCCACCACCCAGTGGGGCAGATTCTCCACAAACTTCCATCATCTGCTCCCTTCCATGGGTGTGGAGAATCAGCCAAATGCAATCTGCTCCTCTTGTCTCCTTCTTAGTTCCTCCCACCCCTTTCCAAGCTGTTTCCCCAAGTTTTGCCACTTCTCTTTCAAATTCCTTCTCAGGACTTTTCTCCCAAGGAGCTGGCAAGAGGGAAGAAACGGAGAACACACCAGATCAAGGGCACTTACTTACCTTAAACTGCTCCTCTTCGTAAGACACCAGCAGTTCTCGGACTCTTTCTGAAAACAGAATGGCAAGACAGATAGGGCAGCCAGCCCAGCTGTCTGCTCCTGATGGGATCCTGAGCCCCTGGCACTTCATTTCATGAGTTATAAATTGGGAACTAGAATTCCTGCCCCCTCCTACTGCACAGGGCTCAAGGAAGATGGTTTGTCACAGTAATTTTTAAAGCTAGGTCTCACCACAGCCAAAGAAATAACCAGTGCCAACCCTAACCCTGAGCATTCTAGGCTCATGGTCCTTTATCTGCCCTGCAAAAACACATACCATATAGCTCTTTACGCCTCAGAGCCTTTTCCTGATGTGAATCCACCTCTTTGCTTTCTCCATCAGCCCTGACATCCAGCTCTGCACCTTTCACATCTTCCTTAGGCTCTGGTCTCTGTTCTGTGATGTCATCAACAACAATGTTCTTATCTTCCTCTTGGTCCTCTTCATCTGTTTCTTCCCTGTCCTCCTCCAACTCCCAGGACTCTCTCAGGCTGTTCTCCAATTGGCGGCACCAATAGGTCTTCTGAAGCCAATCCAGGACAAAGTAGCAGCCTGAAGGAGGGAAGGAAGGCAGTGCCAGAGGACCAGCTACAGGCAAGCATCTCCTAGCAGGCCCACAGCTCTTTTGGCCACCACCCTCATCTTGTGAGCATTATGGGAAAGCCCCAGGGAAGAGGTGTGGCTATTAAGCAGGCTCAAATCACAAATCCCAGAGAGAGAGAGCCTCTCTCACCTGTTCTTTGCTTTCTCCTCTTGCTCACCAGAACCTTTTTAGAAAGAACTAGTTGGAGATAGGATGCCAAAAATGGTAAGGAGCTGGCAGTGGGAGAACTGGAATCCAGACCCACCAGCTAGTTACATGGCCCTGGACAAGCCTCTTCCCTTTTCTAGATCTCAGTTTCTCCATGACGAAGTGGCTAGGCTAAATTGAAGGTTCTTTATTAGTATGGGGTAGATGTCCAAAGAACCTATGGGTCTCAAGAAGCTTGTAAACCTTACACATAGGCATTTTTTTTAACAAGGGGCCATGTAGTATCTAATCCAGCAGCTCTTTATTTGGTCAACAAATCTTTATTGAGAACCTAATATGTGTCAGATGTTATTTTAAACACTGGAAATACAACAGTGATCAAAACAAAGTTTCTGTCTTTGTGAAGCTCACATTCTAGTACAGGAGAAAGACAAAAACAAATATGTCAGGCAGTGAAAAGTGCTATTAAGAAAAAAAAAAGAAGCAAAGCAAGGAGATAAGATAACCCAACTAAAGCTACCAAGTCCAAGCCCGCAGCCATGAAATCAATTCTGACACATGGTGACCCCATGTGTTAGAGTACAACTGCTCCATAGGGTCTTCTTGGTTGTAATCTTTATTAGAAACATTTCACCAGGTCTTTCTTCTGTGGTGCCACTGGGTGTGTTAGACTGCTAACACACCCAGGTTAGTAGCCAAGTGTAAACCATTTGCGCCCCCCAGGGAACTTAATTAAAGCTACAGAGCCTTATTAATAACCTCTCAATTGCCCAAATTAATAAACTACCCTCAGTCTTCATCATTTTTGCTATCTCTGTATCATGACACTGCTCATGCTCCAACCTCTCGAACTCCTCTCCCTTGGCTCCAAAGACATCACCACTCTTCCTGTCTTCTTACCCCTCTGCCTGCCCTTTAAATTCTAGGGTTTTCCTAGGGTCTGTCCTCAATATTCTGCTTTCCCACTCCACACATATACACCAGGAACATTTGATCTGTATTCTGAACTTTTACTACCACTTGGCACCTCCAGCCTAGACCTTTCTGCTGAGCTCACTACACACTGCCTGCTAGAGTCCTTCAAAACTTCTAAGTACACTATGAATCCTTAACAACTGTACTTAGAAATTAAACACAAATTCAACCTGTGGTTTGGATGGGAAAAAAATATTAACTGTGTAGGTACTTCAATAACGTAGGTGGTCCTGCCCTGGACACACGTTCTGGAAGGTGTATGAGATGAGAGATATGAATCTGCTGTTCTCTCAATGGATTCTAGGAAATCCTCAGTTCCCAACTGGTCTCAGTTCCCAAGTACTCCTAAGAGTGTAAGCCTTTTCACTCACTACATGTGATTCAGGGAAATGACAACCAAATACAATCCTGACCTAACATGCTTACTTTAGGACCTAACCACTCTTTCATGAAGATGCCTCCTGTGTACATCCCACATACGCCCATGATCCGACCTCAGGCTACTGCCCCAAACTTATCCTTAGCTACTGCCTCCCAGGCCCTGAGGTTCAAGCCCTGACAATCTGCTTCCAGTTCCTTGAGCCTGCCACACTGTTTTGTAAGTCCCATTCCTTCCCTGTCTTCCACCCACACTTTTGCACCTCCTAGTTCCTCTGCCTGGAATACCGTTCTTGCCCCACTCAAGGAGCTAGTAAACTCCTTCTCCTTAACACTCAGCACAAGCACTACCTTCTCTGTGAAGCCTCCTCTGACTCCTCTTCATGCCAAGGCACCTAGGACATATCCCAATACTGTCCACAGACCACATGACAATTCCTAGTTTCTCCTTCTTACAGGTCTGTGAGGTCTTTAAGACCAGAGACTGTCTTTCACATCTGAAACCCCAGCACCTAACACAAGGCCTCAGTCATTGTTTGCTGACTGAATGAAGTAATAATGCATTCTTCTTGCTATACTTTTTGTCCCCCACCCCAGGAGATCAAACCAGAAATTCTCAGGCTTTCTTGCTTTGCCTAATTGAAAAGTAACAGAAAGGTGGAAGGAGAGGGAGCAGGTCTAAACCAGTCAGACCACCTGGGTTAACAACTTGTCTCCAACATTTACTAGCTGTGTAACCTGAGGAAGGTTACTTAACCTATCTGAGCCTCCTTTTTCAAGGGTTGTTGTGAGATTCAAATGAGTAAATACATATGAAACTCTTAGAACAGTGTCTGGCACAGAGCAAATATTACCTTAATCAACCTACCCTTGTTTCATCTGCCTCCTGTCCTGACAAGGGAGGAAAACTAGGCTGGAGGTTCTAAATAAACCTGCCTTTAAACTCTGTCCTCTGGCAATACTGTACTCGATCCCCCAACCCCAGAGGGATTCCAACATGAAATAGGGAAAGAATCTCTCTCAAAAGCAGGAATTGTAAACCAGAAGACTTCTGGCCAAATCATATGTGCTTTTTCTAGCCCTCAGGTTTAGCTCCCCGGTACTTGAAAAAATATTTGCAGTACGTAGATGTCAACATTTAAAATTCAAGAAATTTTATATAAAAATCCAAATTTTTAGCTTCTTTTGAATATTTGGAAGATCTGGCAGCAAGGGTCCCACACATGTCCACATTTAGCATCTGCTCCCTTTAACAGGCATAGTCTCTTCAGTTCAAAAAAGTCTACCCATCATCCCTATTTGTCTACCAGCATTGGGGCAGAGAACTAGGGGCCATTTATCATTGAGCACACACTGATGGTTTTGTTATAGTGGAAAGTTAACTAGTTTTTTATACTCATGTCTCTATCAAAAATGGAAAAATGAAAATTATACCAAGAAGGCCATGCATTCAAGAATAATTTTTCTTATACTCTGCCTGCTCTGTGTAGACATCTGAGTTGATTACCCCAGGCAAGGCAGTGACTAGGGTGAGGTAGGTAAGGCTAATGAGATAAGTGCCTCAGGTGCAAAATTTAAGGGGGTCCCAAAAACTCAACAATCAAGATCAGAACAGTGCCCGGCCAAGCCATATGGGAGCCTGAGACAAAAGGAGAAATCAGTAATGCTAATCCTATCTTTATTTAAAATTTTTAAATTTTTCTGCATTAATTTTTTAAAAATATTATTTATCTTGATTAATGGGTTTTTGGTGCCCCCTTAAATTTTGTGCCCAAGGTGAATGCCTCACTTGTCTCACCATAGTTCTGGCCTTGACCCCAGGTGGAGACCTTCCTCCCTACCCTTCTAGTCCCAATGCCACCCAGCCTAGGCCCCTGAGCTTAACTTGATAAGTATACCCCCTGCCCTGAGGACTCACCTCTGCGGCAGTCATTTATATGGGGCATTTTCTTGTGGGTCAACTCATGACGAAGTTCAACAATCCAATCTGGAATGTTCACCTGATTTGTATGGGTACAGAAATTAGAAAATATTAAAGCTGGAAAGGACCAGAGATGAATTTGCCTGATCTCCCATTTTATAGATAAGGAAATGGAGATTTTAAGAGAAGGTTCCACTCTTAGTGGCAGAGCCAAGATTAGAACCCAGTTCTCCTGATTCGTTTTACAGGTCTATGGAAGTGGCCTTGAAAATTAGAAAAGACACTTGCTTCCCCTAACAACCATCCTCCTCCAACAAACAGATCTCTGTGAATGAGCATTAACAATCACTTCCAGCCTCCCTCTGACCTGTCTGTACCACTCCCCTCTCCCTGGGTATCCTTTACCATTCCCTCCCATGTCTCCCCCAGGAAAGTTCTCTTGATGACTGAGAAGATGCTTGCCCTCTCGGCTTCCACACACCTCACATACTCACTCAGGACAGGAATGTCTGGCATTTTTGTGCTGCTTGGCTGAGCAGTCTCCTCAACCGTCAGCTCCCTAAGGGCAAGCGCTGTGACTGCTACTTCTTTCCTGTCCCCACCTAGTGGTACGATCAGGCTCCTCAGCTTCACTGGGCCACTCCAAGCAAGCTGGGCAGGCCAAGCCCACTGAGACACCAGTCATGAGCAAGAGAGTGAATCTGCTTCCTTTGAGCTGGAAGGTGAGGATCTTGGGTTCTTGCTAGGCTTGGCTGGTAGTGACGGGATGAACTAGTCTGACTGTATGCCCACTCTACCCCATGCTCCCATTTACTGAGCCCTCCTGTGGAGAGATAATTGAGTGAGGCCACTTTATCATACGTACCTCCTGAGCCAGGAACTTGAGGGGGAGCTTGACAAACTTTGTCTTCCTCTCTGAGATAAGATTCACAAACCTGGGGTTGGGGAAGAAATAAGTGGCACAGCCCAAGTAACTGTTTTACTCACAAGTAGTGGGGCTTCAAAACACCTTGCTGAGTTACTGTCACCTTGCGTTTTCCACAATCTTTCCACTGTCTGTCCTTTCATATGGTTGATATCAGTCACAGCAGGGACAGTTCAATCCAACATTTACTGACAGTTTACCCAGTACTAGAGCCATACAGGTGAATAAGACACTATTCTGGCCTTGAAGAGTTTGGTTTAGGATAAACAATCATGACATAATATAACATGACTATGTTAGAACATAACTGCTAGGACAAAGGACTACATCAAATGATATGGGTAGCACAGCTGAAGATGGATAAGGTAAGAAGAGCCAAGGGGGGCCTTAAGGCAGACAAGGGGAACATGACAAGATGAGCAAAGGCTTTGACAGATGAGAAAACTCAATGTTAGCCTTTTTCCCTGATGTGTAGGAAAAAGCTAGAAACACTCTGAGTCACTTTGTAAGTCAGAAACTCCAGTCCATGTCTCCATTTCCAAAACTCAGCAATCTTTTCAGTGTTCATGGGGGAGAAAAGGGCAAAAGGGTGGCGCGAGGTGTAGACAGGAGTAGGGTTGGAAAGTCAACATTAAATCAGGGCCAAGAACATTGAACTATTCAGAAAAGTTCCTCTGGATGAGAAGAGGTAAAGGAGAAGAAAAAAGTCAGACTATCGAAGCTGGAAGAGACCCAAAGAAATTACCTAGTCTGAACCATCTCCACCTCACATTCCAAGAAAGAGAGGGAAAGAAAAACAGATGATATGAGGTTCTTGGGAAAAGGAAGAAAAACAGGAATGCGTGTTGACAGGCGGGTACCAAAATCTGTCAAGTCAGACATTCACAGGCTTACCCACACAGGGTTTTTTTTTGTTTGTTTGTTTGTTTTTTTGCTGACTGGGAGGTAGCACCTGAGGCTAAGCTTTACTTATCACATGATATTCCCCCCTCCAAAACTGCCTCCCACCCCTCTCCCATCCCGTGCAGATCTTACCTGACCAATGCCATGCCATAGAGCAGACTAAGTTCATCAGTGCCCAAGCCACCAGTCACATCCATGAGCTTACAGCGTACCAGGTCAGCGGTGGAAGCCACTGCCAGGGGAAGGTCGTTGCCTAACCTAAAAGGCCACAGTCCAGCACCATCATAGGCGTCCTTACAATGGTCCACCCTCCACCTCCGAACGTAGGTTGTTGTAGGCTAGTCCCATTATATACTGGTTCAGAGCACAATAAGAGATACAAAACAAGAAGGTGGGAGGGGAGGTAATATCCCTGGGACTCAACAGCATACAGTGCATGGAGGGCTAGCTGGGGATACACATGACGCCTAATTGTTAGGTAATCAACTAACAATTAAGCGTGGACAGATACCTTTCTTTCACCCTGAAACCCCCAAAAAGTCAGCTAGAGAAAACCTTTATTCCTTGTTAGTCGACCCCAACTCAATCTTACATAGTTTTGCAGGCAAGACCCCCCCCACCCCCAATTCGAATCGGAAATACACTCCAGGTTGTTAACTTGTTCCTTAAGCCACTAGTCCCTCCAGGGCCCTTCCCAAGTAGGAGTTAAAGCTCGCAGATAGACAAGTGTTGAGGCACACCCCCTTTCTTTCCACAAATGGGATTAGTGCAAGAGCTTGGCTGCGACTTTCCCCCAGGAACTTGGAAGACGGACAAGGTCCAAACCACTCATGGAGGCACCATTCGGCAACTTAGGGTAAGACTGAAGGACACGGCCTTATAGGAACGCAACAAAGGAGGAGGTGAGGCGCTGCCAGCACGCAGGCAGGAGGGCTGCGTCCGCTGGCTTACCTGCTCCTCCACACGGTGATACGGTTCAGCGCATACCGCTGCAACGTATGGTCCTCACAGAACAGATACACCATCACCTGGTCCCACTCAGCTCTGTTGAGCCAGGCCACCACGATGCGCTGGGCCCAAAGGGGCGACGACCCTTTCCCTTTGGCACATTTGCCGCACCACGCACTCCACACACGGTCCATTCCCCTGGGACCCAGACCTGACCTGGTCCCACACTCCTACACAGACACTGGGCTCGACGACAGGCCCAGTGCCACCGAGCTCCGCACGCTTTCAGCTCAACGTGCTATCCTCCAAACCGCCGCCGCGACAGCAGCCAATGGTAGAGCGTAACGGCGACGCAAGCCCGCCTCCCAGCGTATACGCTGCCAATCGGAACGCGAAAGCTGCAATCCCCAAACTACAGGTGGGGTTACGTCCTCAAGGGACCGGAAATGTTCTTTTCTCAAAGCAACCGTACCAGCTGCATGTGTTCAGCCTCAAGGTTCCGCCAATTTCCTGATTGCTCTTTGCCTTCTTCCCAGTGTCAGAAGGGAGTCTCTGAACTACAGGAGGAATTTCAGTTTGCACCCCATGGCGGGCGGGGCGAGACTATGGTGGTCTATTGTACTGGGAATGCGCTGATAAGTATAATGTTTTTATCGTCATGAATCAGGACCTAATCCAGTAAACACAATGGACACTGAAGCAGGGCTACAGAGCAAATATCTCAAGTCAGGTTGGAAAATCTGCTTTCGTCGTAGGTACTCAGGGGCCTTGCCTTCCAAATTGGTACCAATCTGTTGTTGCACAGTGATATGAGGCCTGAATGACTGGGGTGAAAGTCATCTTGGGAGTAGAAGACTCGGAGTTCTGCCACTAACTGTGTGGTTTTGGACAAGTCTCTGCCCCTCTCTGGGTCTCAGTTTTCCCATCTGTACAGTGTGGAACTTAGACTGAATGGTCTCTAAGTTCTCTGTCATAGTTGGAAACTGGGGGATTTTACTCTGCCAGCATCCCACTGCTATGTTGATTTCAGTATCCACAAAGGATGTTTTTCTGATTCCTTGGGATTTTGGAGTTCTGGAGGAAAACAGTATTATGAAGCCCTTCTGAATTTACAAGTTGGCTAAAATGTGTTTGTTGTTGTTGTTAGGTGCCGGCGAGTAGGTTCCAACTCAGCGACCCTATGTACAACAGAACGAACACTGCGCGGTTCTGCGCCATCCTCACAATCGTTGTTATGCTTGAGCCCATTGTTGCAGCCACTGTGTCAATCCATCTCTCTGAGGGTCTTCCTCTTTTTCGCTAACCCTGTACTTTACCAAGCGTGATGTCCTTTTCCAGGGATTGATGCCTCCTGATAACATGTCCCAAGTATGTGAGACGTATTCTTGCCATCCTTGCTTATACAGAGTGTTCTGGCTGTATGTCTTCCAAGACAGATGTGTTCGTTTTTCTGGCAGCCCATGGTATACTCAATATACTTCACCAACACCGTAATTCAAAGGTGCCAGTTTTAATTCGGTCTTCCTTATTCATTGTCCAGCTTTCACATGCATATGAGGCGATTGAAAACACCATGGCTTGGGTCAGGCGCACCTTAGCTTCAAGGTGACATCTTTGCTTTTTTACACTTTAAAGAGATCTTTAGCAGCAGATTTGCCCAACGCAATGTGTTGTTTGATTTTTTGACTGCTGCTTCCATGGGTGTTTAGGACTGTCCCATTCCTTCTCATAAAAGTTATTTTACAGTCTAACACTTAAAAGAGTTATTGCTAGCAATCTTAGCAGCCTTGCTGTGAGTGGCTAGTGACACATTTTGCAGCAACAAATCCGTTCTCCATATCTGCTTCCCTCTCCATCCAGCTTCCCCTAAGATGTAGTCTTCCCCCTTTAAAAAAAACTTTTTTTGTTGTGGTGAAGATATATATAGATACCAAAGCATTCACCAATACAGCAACTTCCAGATTTACATTTCGGTGACATTGATTACTTGTTTCATGTTGTGCGACCATTATTACTATCCTTTTCCAAAACATCCCACCACCGTGAACACGAACTCAATGCCCTCCAAACAAAAACTCCACCTTTTTCTCTCTCTCCCACCTCTGGTAACCATTAATAATCTTTGGTTTCAATATATTTGGTTATTTCATTTGAGTGAGATCATACAGTATTTGCCCTTTACAAGTGACTTATTTCACGCAGCATGATGTTTTCAAGGTTCATCCATGTTGTGGCATGCACCAGCATTTCATTTCTCTTTATGGCTCCATAATACTCTATTGTGTGTATATACCACATTTTGTTTATCCATTCATTTGTTGATGGACATTTCTATTGTTTTCACCGTTTGGCTATTGTGAAAAGCGCCGCAATGAGCATTGGTGTACAGATTTCTGTTTGTGTTCCTGCCTTCACTTCTTCTGGGTATATTCCTAGGATTGGTATTGCTGGACCATATGGTAGTTCTATGTTCAACTTTTTGAGGAACCGCTGAACTGTTTTCCATAATGGCTGCACCATTTTACATTCCCATCAGCATCAGCAATAAATGAGGGTTCCAGTTTCTCCATAACCTCATCAACAGCTATTGTTTTTCGTTATTTTGATCCTTACCATTCTAATGAGCGTGAGGTGGTATCTCAATATGGTTTTGATTTGAATTTCTAATGGCTAATGAAATTGCGCATCTTTTCATATGCTTGTTGGCCATCTGACTATCCTTTCTGGTGAAACTGTTTGTTCAAGTCCTTTGCCCATTTTTTGATTCGGTTGCTTTTCTTTTTGTTTTTAAGTAATAGAAGTTTTATATATATATTGGATATTAGGCCCTTATCTGATATATGATTTTTGAAAAAATTTCTTCCAAATCTTTAGATTGTGTTTTCACTTTGTTGATAAAGTCCTTGGATATACAAAAATATTTCATTTTTATGAGGTCCCATTGATCTGTTTTGTCTTTTGCTTCTTGAGCTTTTGTTGTCATATCTGATAATCTGTCATTAAAAACCAGGTCTCACAACCTCATCCCTATATTTTCTTCAAAAAGTTTTATGGTTTTAGTTTTCACATTCAGATCCTTGATCCATTTTGATTGTTTTTTTATGTATGATGTGAGGCATAGATCCTGATTCATTATTCTGCACGTGGAAATCCAATTTTCCAAGCACCATTTATGGAAGAGACTCTTCCTTCCCCATTGAATGGACTTAGCGCCTGTTATGGATTGAATTGTGTCCCTCCAAAATGTGTATTTTAAATCCTAACCCCTATACCTATGGTTATAATTCCATTTGGAAATGGGTATTCTTTCTTACATTAAGAGGCCATATCAGTGCAGGGTGTATTTTAAACCAATCACCTTTGAGATATAAAAAGAGCAGATTAGGCATAGGAAGCAAAGGGAAATGGGAGAATATAGTGGCAAGCCACTTGAAGATTGCTGAAGAAGAAGCTGAAAAGAAACAAAGACTTTCCTCCAGAGCCAACAGAGAGAGAAAGCCTTCCTCTAGAGCCAGCACCATGAATTAGGACTTCTAGCCTCCTAAACTATGAGAAAATAAATTTCTGTTTGTTAAAGCCACCCACTTGTGCTGTTTCTGTTATAGCAGCATTAGATAATTAAGACAGTACCCTTGTCAAAAGTCAGTTGAAAGGAGGTAGAGCCAACATGGTGTACTAGACAGTGCACCATGTCGACCCTCTGCAGCAAAGACCTGAAAAACTAAGTAAAATGAAGGGATAAAGAACTACGTCAAACACTGAATGGAAGAAGAAACTAACAGAAAACAGAGAAAAAGGAAAGATACAGAGTGGAAGTTCCCTGTCAACTAACACAGCACAGAGTCACCATCTTGAAACACAGCCAGCAATGACCCCGGACAGGGAGTACGGGAAGGCAAATTCAGGGAGCTCCCAACAGGAGACAGAGCAACTGGTAACCAGAGAAACAAGCTTTCCCACCACTCACACTTCTGCTGAGTAGAAGCAAGAATGCCCCCATCCCAGGAGCTCCCACCACCGGTGTCCACAATACGTGTCCCCTCCAGGCGTACCTCACCCCCCTCCCACCACATGACTTTAAAAATTTTCTTTCTTCCTTTTCTTTCTCCCACCCACCTAGGCCCATACGCCACTCCTCCCCCTTCTTATTGGCTCCCCCAACACTGCCATTGTTTTTCCTTCTCCCTTCCACTTAGTCCCATATGCCACCTCCCCTCCCCACCAGCCCCCAGCTCTGCCCCACCACAATTGCTGCCCCCACTGTGCCGCCATTTTTTCTTTCTCTTTCTTCCTTTCCTTCTCCCTCCTCCTAGCCCTGTACACCACTTCCTCCACCTTCTTGCTGGCCCCCACCATGCTGCCATGGATAGAGAGCCACCAGCTTGCCACCTTCCTGGGTCCGCCCCATCGCAACCTGCTAACCCTCGCCGTGTCACCATTTTTTAAGATTTCTTTTCCTTCTTTTCTTTTTCACTCCTACCTAGCACTGTACGCCACCTCCCCTCCCTTCACACAGGCCCCTGGGTCCACCTTGACCTCACACGCTGACCCCCACCAAGCCACTATATTTTTTCTCTTTTTCCTTCTTTAATTTTCTTTCTCCCTCCCACCTAGCCTCCTACGCCACCTACCCCGCCCAACACTGACACCTGCAGCACTGCCATGGATAGAGTGCCACTGGAGCACCAGCCACCACTGCCCTTGGTCACCCCTGCCCCACCCACGAGCCCCCAATGCGCCACCATTTATTTTTTATTTTTATTTTGTTTTCCTTTCCTTCTTTTCTTTCTCCCTCCCATCTAACCCCATATGCCACCCCACCCCTTTCTACCAGCCCCCAGGTCTGCCCAGCCCCACACGCTGGTTCCTGCCATGCTGCCTATTTTCTTGTTTTTTTATTTCTTTCCCTCTCTTTTCTTTCCCCTTCTCAACTAGCCCAGTACACCAACTCTCCCCCCTTCTTGCCAGTCCCCGCCAT